GTGGCCGCGCATTGGGGATTAGACACGACAGGAGTGTTCAAATAATTGCAGTCAAAACGCGCCGGTCCGCTATTTGAAATGAAACATGCAAAGAGAATGCCGGAACGGAACAAATGCAGCCGCTCACAATGAGAGCGGCGCCACAGCAGTCACGAACGAGGCAATAGCAATTCCGATAGTTATAATGCCGAAATGGACTGCTCCTAACAGCCACCACCAGCTGCTGCTTGAGTGTCGGTGCCTTCAAAGAATCATTCTTGAATGCGCGCGCGAATCGTCAACACGTAAGTCGCTACGTCGCCAAATCGAGTAAACGCAGCAATATTGGAAACAAAGTGGTTTTTCACACTCGGCCGCCGAGTACTCATAGATACACAAACACGTATACGATTACATAGTATCTGTGTGTGCTGCAAGAAAAAACGCAAAAGTTGTTGAGCGTATTCGCCGTGGTGTTTGTGAGTATAGGCGTTGGGTGAGAGCATGAGCATTACGCCGTGTGCTTTTAGCGCTTTCATTTACTGCGTTTCTGTTTAAATTGTTGTTTTTGGTTTTTCGTTTTTTTGCAAAGAACGAAGCGTTAAAGCTACTTACGCTCGTGCGGACAATGCTGGCGTCGTTGACTGGCTAACTGGCTAGCTGGTTGTTTTGCGCTGGCGAGCAGACACTTGTGGTAGTTGCATTTTGACCGTACGCGAGTAAAGCCACAAATGTAAACAAAACGCGCTAATTGAAGAAAACCCTGAGCGCATCGGAAAATCAAATTCGTAAAGCTGCGACGAAGCAAAAATACTTCAACTAAATTTTTAAAGCAAAGTCGCGAGGAAAATATTCTACAATTTTTAGAAATCTTGAACATTTGGCGCTGTGACAACTTGTATGACGCAGTCGTCAACCGTCATTCACCGAAAAGCAACACCTGTGCCAGTGCTAAAGTGGCTCGCGGCATTGTGTGATGTAACAGAGAGTGACTACCTGTGTGAAAATTTTACAAAATTTGAAATAATTTTGTTGAAAAATTTAAATAATATTTGTATGTGGTAAATAAATTAAATTCGTAAAAAATGTTTTAAAAAAATATAAATTGAAAATTATTACGACAAAAATGTGCAGTGCAAAGGCAATGAAAAAATTTAAATGAAAAATTTGAGGACTGTGGAAATGTGAAAATTCGAAAATAACTAAACTTAAAAGTTGCCAAGCAAAGTTACAAGTGAAAAGGAAGCAATTTGAGTTGATAAAAAAATATATCGATAGCAATTTTATTAAAAAAATATAAACTATTGAAAAGCCGTTGAGAAGCTAATCTGAAAAACTTTAGTAAAAATAATAAAGCAAAAATTATTACAAAGTGTGGTCAAATTAATATAAAATATAAAGAAACAATTTGGTTTCGGTATATTTTTTATACTAATCTAAATTAAAATATTTTTCCCAACACGTCAATAAAATTTTAACAATAATTAAAACACACGAAAATAATATAAATAAAAAAATGAGCAAAAAGTCACCAATAAAATTGATTTTTGCGCCAGTTCCGAAGGAAATTTGGAAAAAAGCTTTCATATAAAATCTTTAATTAACAATTAATGGCTTCCATATTTAACATTCGCAAAATATATTTTCCTTACTTTAAATTGTATTAAAAAATGTGATTGCAAAAAATTTGCATATTTCCCCTCAAATTTTTTCATAAGTTCCAATTCACTTTATACGTATTGCGGCTAAACAAAATTCACTTTTTTGTAAAGTATATACATATAAATAAATTTAAAAAATATGTTCATACAAAAATGGTGGCTTCTCAGGTGTCTTCTCAGATAAAAAAAAAAAATAACAAAATGAAAACAAATGAGGATCACAGTTTTCGAAATTTTAATACGAACACAATTCACGAGTAAATTCAAATATTTCTACATAAAATAAGGGAAATACCGAAAACACTCTGTTGTGCGCGAATTTAGCACAAAAATGCCTGAGAGCTCATCGAAAAAATTTTCCGCCAACAACTCTTCGAAAAGATCGCAAAAAACACAATAAATTGTTGTGCGTGAAATTGGCAGTTTCTTGTTGGTTGATGGCGCCATTTAGCCTAATTTTTTGGTTACAAGTGCAACATAAAAATAACACTTTAACAACAGCAACAAAGCGCAAAATGAAAAATAGCCAGTGGCACACACGACCGTGTCACCCAAACCTGCTGGTGGCCGCCCGAAAATAAACGGCATTCAGCGGCAAATGCAACGCTGACGCACTACCGCACACACACACAGAAACAGGCGCGGCAATTCGTCGCTGTCATTTACCGGCCGGCGTTTTGTGCCAATTAACAGGCGCGCGCACACACTCACCCAAATACGTGCAACACTCGAGGAATCTAAGGCGACACTGGCCACAAAGCAGCCAGTAGAACCAACAACTACGAATGCGTTGCTAGAGCAAATCGCACACTATTACTCTAAGCGCTCACACGGTTACATGTGTGTGTATGTGCGTGTGCTGCCTAGCGCCTAGTATGCCCGGCCTGTTGACAGCGCAGCGGCAACAGTTTGTAGCTGCATTTCGCTTTTTTCTTGACCAACTTGGTTGCATGCGCTTGGGGGCTGAGCTGCGCCCGTCAGTGTGTATGTGTGTGTGCATGCACCTTTTTTGTCTGTCTGCGTGCCACTTCTCGGCTGACACGGTTCCGTTTTCCTATTCTGCTGGCATTGCCAATGGGCAACACCGCCAACTAGTGCAGCAAGCAAGCCATTAATCGCAGCAATAACAACAACAACTGCACGCATGTCACACGCAGCCGCTGATTTCACGCAAAATAACACACACACACACACATGTTGGAGTGTAAAAATTCGTTTTTGAATTTGTGCGTCAGTGTTGTTGTTGTGGGGAAATTTAATTGCACGCAATTTATTTAAACGCCACGCCGCAACAGAGCGCCGAAGAAACTGTGAAAATTATTTAAAATTAAATTAATGAGAAACGTTGCTGCAATCACGGCAACAACACAAATTGCTACAACAATTCACAACATCAGCGTGCTAAGGGGCCTTGTGTGTGCTCCATACAACCATACATACGGACAGGCACACATACATACATACCTTTGTAGTACATGCGTTGCAAAGCGGCGCAGAATTTTGATTTTGATTTTGATCAGAAGCGAAATTCCTCAACGCCGCATTTGCAATGTGACATTGTAACAGAATTTTTTTAAGGCCAACTAATCTGTAACAAACAACAACAACAGCAATATCTGCGTAATTGCATAATTAAAAATTCAATGAAACAGACAAATGCAAATTAACAGCAAGCGTTTAAATAAAAAGTGTTTTGAAACGAAAAATTATTGATGCATATTACATTGTGCCACACAAACGAAATTCAAGCATTTGCAGAGAAAGTGTGAATATGCTTCATTCGTTCAGAATTCAAGTGAAATCCAAATCAGTGAGGAGAAATTTAAATAATTAAATAAATACAAAAACAGTGTCAAGTAAATTACCAAAATTAACAAAAGTTTATCAAACTTATTCAAAATAAGCAAACTTGTGTGTGGATTTCCAAGCACTAATTGTCCTGGCTGCGACTAAGGTGAGCTGGATTTCAGTACTTAAATTGAAAAAATTGTTTTAATATGGAAGAAATAATGAATAAGAACTGAAAAAAACAGGCAAATACTGCATTTTTAATTAAAATTATTTTCTTACATAAACTCTAATTTTTGCGCTAAAGTTTTTTTGGGGCAAGATATTAATTTTTATCGATTAAGAACTTTATTATAAATAACACATTTCTTTTTTTGCGGCACAGGTAATAAAAAGTAAAATTATTTTCTGCGTAGAAAAATTTAGCTACTGTCCATGGACTTTTTTTTTTTTTTAATTTAGTAATCGATATGGAAATTTAAAAAGTGGTAAAAATATTAGTTTTTAAGTGCAGTTTAACAAAGCCAGGTTAAAACTAATTCAATTAGAATTTTAAACACTTCATTGCAAAGCTCTTTGAAAACAAGTAACTATTGAAACATCAAGAAAAAAGAAAATCTATGAAATGTATAACCTCACTTTTTTCTTAGTTTTCATATTTAATTACATTTGAAACATAATATATATATATATATATATAACTAAGAAAAAAGTGAGGTTATACATTTTATATTTATATATATATATAATGACCTTTTTCCACACAATTTCCTGGTGTAGATAGAATTTTCAGTTGGAGTTGCGCACTATGAAACGTTTAGCTCTATTTCTATACATATGTATGTATACTGTATGTATGTGTTTCCATTGCTGCTTGTAGATACATGCGAGGTAAATAGGTCAAGGTGCAGTAGCCAAGGTTGTGATAATAAGCAATAATTCCAGTAATAACAGAAAAGATTTTCCCAAATATCTAAAAAAAAAATTAAAAGAACATTTAAAAGTCAATAGAAATAAAATTTAAAAAAGTTTCAAACTACTTTTTAAACAAATGTTACTATATAGTTGTCAGTCATGACCTAAATTGGGAAAATTCTCGATTTAGCCATCACATTTATATGTAGAAAGTTTATTTTTCAACAACATTTTTATCAATAGACTGGGGCAAGCTCCATATAGGTGTAGAGGTAGTATATAACTTAGAAATACCTTTTGAGATTAAAATTATTTATTTATTTAATTTTAGTGTTACTATTTACTCTTTATTTTATTATATTATGGCTGGAATTCTTTGTTGAAATACGGAGGTGAAATATGATCTTGTTGAATAATGTTTGAGGTAAATTCACGTTTCCCAGTCAGTCAAAATTCAGTCACTTAAATTCGCCGTTTTCATAAATATTAAAAACATTTGAAGGTATCACAGCTGATCGAAAAACTCTCCTTTTTCGAAAAGCTCGAAAAATATGCATTTTTCGGTCTCAGGAATTTTCTTATTTTGAAAAACACTGTCTTATTGTTTTAAATAAAACTTTACTAACTTAAATAACAACTTTCTTTATCTGCCCTCAGGAACCTATTGAGCTGAAAAAACGTTTGGAAGAGGTGCGTCTGCTCGAATCGCGACGCTCTGCTCGCTTGGCTGATCAGGAACGCGACACAGATTTCGCACGCCTAGCCGACATGGGTGGCGATCGCCGCCGAACAACATCACACAGCATCGAGGTGCCAATGTCCTTAACACCGCAGAATAAGTGAGTAAAAATTAAAAAATTTGCCTAAATTATTATTATTTTTTTTTTTTTGAATTAAATAGAAATAGACAAAGTCAAATGCTTTAAACAAAATTGATAATATTTAAATAAAATAGCATAACATAAAAAAGTATACAATAAAAGTAATATAAGCTCAATTAAGCTAATTAAAAATAAATTTAATTAAATTATTTAAGAATATTTGAAAGCACAATTCCCATTAGAATGAGTTACAAAAATAAAAATTCGAATGCTAATTTTTTCATATGAACTATACACAGTGGACCAATAAAGTTTACATACACATAGTTCTAGTAAATTACGACACATTTATTTGTTATAAAATGAATAAATTTTTTGGTTTTTTCTATCCATTTCAAAATATGTCAATTTAACATTAAATATAGCATATCAAAATATTTTTGTTTTTAACAAATAAAAAAAATTAGTGCTAAAGCTTAAAACGGTCAAAAAATTTTACGTACACTGATGATTATTTATATAATTCAAAAGTGATTACAATAGTTTTAGCAGTTTTTTGGCCTACAATTTGTTACTATTGTTATCCCTAGACATCGATGTATGCTCCCCACTCAGTTTCTTGTATTACTTCCAGATATTTACGATGAATACGATTTTCCAAAAAGTTCCAGATATTTTGAATAGGATTAATGTCTAGTGATTGCGGGATTTATGGACTTCTTTTAATTTCCATAAAAAACCTGCACGCAAGTTTTTTTTTTAATGTTTTGACTCAATATTCGCATACTTATGCGTGCATATAGTACATTGTATTGTTTTATTTTTATTTTTTCACAACATCGAAACAACAAATACATATGTATGTCGATTGCCACATTAGAAGCGAGGCAACCGCCTGTTTTATTTCAATAACTCCACAAATATGACCTAAAAATGATGAAAATGAGAAGCACAAACAAAATTGGCGCAATTTGAAGCATTCCATTGCCGACGAAATGGGGTCACATGCTGCCCCTTCCAGTCACTTTCAAAGCATACATACATACATACACTATATACTTATGCTGCCATGTACACATGTATGCTTGTATATAAAATGTAATCCACAATCACACGCAAACTCAGACATCAGACATAGATAAACGAGTAATGTTTTTATTGCCCAAACACCACTTGCTTCCATATACTCGTACATGTACATATGTATATAAAACACATCTGTAGATATGTATGTTTGTGTTTATGTACGGAGATAAAGTGCGTGGGCGCCGTTGGCGGGAAGGTTCGCCCTAAGCGCGCTCACTATCAACAGCTCGCGCACACAGCTGCACAAGTAAATAACTGTATTTTAGTTATCACAGACTATTTACATGCTTGTTGTTGCTGTCGCTAACAACTTTTCGCATATTTGGTATGTATAGTCGCGACTTAGCGACGTCAAAAGCATCCAATGGCAGGCAAGTGCGCCCAAAGCTTTTCAGACACATTTACATAAACATTTGTACATACATATGTATGAGTGTGAGCAAATTCTTGTTTGCGTTAGTGTAAATATTTTCGTTTGGTTATCAGCGGCAGGGTGTTGCGGCGTTAACCAGAAATCGGTAGCCAAACTTTTCGCAGTTCTCTGATTTTATTAAAAAATGTTTCAATATATGTGTATGTATGTACAAAGCCTTTTGTTAAAAACAGTGTTGTAATAAGTAAGAATTCTATTACGTCGCAAATTGCTACCTAATCAGACGCAAACATGGTCAACTTATTTATATATACGAGTATGTATATGTATATATAGTACATATACATATGTGCATTATATGTATGTATGTATAAACTGTGTGTTTATAGTTAACAGCATTAAAGCCACACGCCAGACTGGGCGCGTACGCTACCGGAGCCGCTCGCTTTGATAAGCCGCACTGTCAGTGGCAAAGTCTGAATTTACTCAATCGCCTTGATTGCTATTCGATTTGCCAGCTTATATACGATGCTGCTCTTCTTCAACAAGCGTTCAGCAGACGTTCCGTCGCTACTGGCAAAGCATTTTATTTGAATAGTAGAAATACAAACAAACAAAACAAAACAAAAAATGCAAAACTTCCAATCCAAAATAAGAAACTCAAATTGTGACTAGAAAAGCGTCGCATGCGATTGCGATTAGAACGCTGTCGCGTGATAAGCGGGCCAGCGCGTACTTGTGGACCTACTTTGGTACATTAGAATTGCAATTTTATGTGCCTGTGTGTGTATGTGTGCGTTATCTGGACGTCTGTGTGGCGGCTATTTGAAAACTGATTAGCAAAGCTACTTCGTAATTAAAATAATAATAACAATAATAGCAATATGATCGGCGTAAAAACTACTAGCGAGCACTGCGAATTGAAGTCTGAACTTACGCTCTTCTGCGCACCCACACCACTACAACCACACACAGCAGTATTTATGCAAATATTTATGTCTGCTTTGAATGGCTCATGCAATTAATTGCGCTATTGCATCGACTACAAACAGATATAGTCGCAATTACACATATACAGACATTTACATATATATGTACGTTGCTAGAAGGCGGCAAGGCATTGAGCCGAGGATGCTATTGTTCGAATGCCGGCCACGTTCTAAATTGATAACACGCAGCAGTGGCTCATAAATAAGCGAATAAATGGAGCAGAAATTGCGTTTGACTATTACACATACTTTTTAAGAAAGTGGCATATATATATGTGTACATATATATGTGTGTGTTTGCTATGCGTAGTGCGTACAGCTCAGCAGATTTGGTAGAGCGTGGTATGCCCTTTGTCTGACATTCTGTTACCATTTAAAACTAATTCTTCGAAAAAAATTCAGAACAGCTACGAGGAATTCCTAATCAATAAAATAACCACAAAATAAAGGCATGTATTGTATGGATATACATACATATGTGTTTGTGTATGTATTTTCCAGAAATTAAACGTCTATTATTGAAAAGTAGTTCGGAAGGTAAAAATTAACGTGTGGCATATCTTCATAATTATACCCCGATGAGGGTGTAAAGTTTGCACGAAATTTCTTACTCTAAGAACTATTAAAATAAAAAACTAAATCAGGAACTCAATCGTTAGACCCCAGCTTTTGAAATTTTGTACACGCCCTTTCCGATAACAATTATCGATTGGATATCGGACTAGTATCGCATTTAGCTGTCTTACAAACTGAAAGATCAGAATCAAATGTTTGTATAAGAGCTTTTTCATTTGACGAGACACTTTCAAGAAATTTGGCATGCACTGTTGTCCAAGACAAAAGTACGTCCAAGCGAACAAAAAATGGTTCAGATGCATCTACTATAGCATATAGCTGCCATACAAACTCACCGAACAAAATTAACTTCTTGTAAGGTGACGGTGAAGTGTTAAATATATTCTATTGCCTACTGTTACTACTTTAACCATGGTCCGATTTTACTCGTCTATGAGAAGTAAGTGCTTAATCTCGTATTTTAAGATATAACATGCAATTTTATGAGCTAACTATATATGCGCCTACTTTCGATAAATTTAGCTTACAAAAAAATTCAGTTACTAAATTATTTTATTCAAACATTTTTAAATCGAAAAAGCTTTTTCTAATTACTGTTTTTTATTATTTTACTACAAATTTCCCCTTTGAGACGCTCTCGTTAGTTACTGCGATTTCTATGCCAGCGATGCTAATATTGAAACGCTTTTTATTATATTAATAGTAATTTTTTCAATCTTTTTTACTTATTAATACTGTTATTTTTTGCATTTTTTGTTGTTGTAAAATTCACGTCGAGAATTTGTTTGTGACAACGCCGTGCTTTATTATTGTTTTGACTGTTGGAGCGCTTTGAATATTCACTCTGTATGTATGTATGTATGTATGTAAGACAGTCGACAACTACTTGATTGAGTACGGCACTTCTAGCAGTATCGCTTGTTGTCTACTATTGCTGACGTTTGCTGCCGTATGCGGAAATAGCAAATTAATTTTCGCACAAATACAAACAAGTCTGTACTCACATACATATAAGCGCGATTTATTAATAAAGAAATGTGTGTGCGAATTCACTCGTTTGGCGAACATAATTTTTATGTTTTTATTTTGCTACATAGGCGCTAATAAAAGAAACAACTAAAACAACAACAGCGCAGGCACACTTCAAATCGCCAATTGACTTTGAGTTGATTGCGCATACACGCAGCGCTACGCAGCGGCTGACGCGATTATATATATATATATATGTATGTACATGCATACTTATACACACGTGTACATATACATATAAACACAAAATTGTATATTAATATGTAGTTAAGTGGCTGTACGCATTTATCTGGCAGATACTCGTCATTTGGCTCAACACTGTAGGACGCGGCGTCACAAGCGCTGCTGACACACAAAGAAATGAAAATAAAAACAGCAAAAATTCAAAACCAATCATACGTAGGAAAGAATAAAAAACTAAAAATTATGAAAAAGCTTTGTGATGCTAAACGATGTTTTTGCTCGCACTGGCGGCTCAGGCGTATACGTAACTATTATTTTTTTTCGACGCAATTTTTATTGTCGATTTCGTCATTGACCTCCCGCACAGAACAAGAGCAAAACAAGTAATTTTGCAGGCGCTCAGATAAACCGCTAGCGTAGCACACATATATACACACATACAGCGGACAGCGGACGGCGGACGGCGCATATCATAAGATCCGCGTTGAAAAATAAAAGACGTCACCAGAATTCATGGAAATTTACGACGCTTGAACGCGCGCCGGCATCGCTGTTTTTGCCGTGCGCATGTTTGTGTGCCTGCGCTCACTCGCTTGTTTATTATTATTGTTATTGATGATTTTTGAATGTTGGCTGCCTCGCCATCGCCGGGGAATTTTGCGCCTAATTTTTGTTTTCGCACTAAAAAATTCCACGCAAAACACAAATTTGTCACGAAGTATTTACAACGAAGCGGCCTTTTACGCGGCTACCATGTAAACGGGTCGGACCCGTGGCGCAAG